GGTGATTGTTCGTGTTTTGACTGCTTGAGAATTGGGTAGAGCACTTTTCTCGAGAGGGTGATTTATTTTTCTTGACAGACCTTTTAGGGGTAGAAGTTTGACATCACAAGGCTTGAAAGCTTTGCAGGACGTGTTCTGTTGGAAGATCCGGCGATTTCGTGGGACATGTTCTATTGGCAGAGTCGTTTGGATTGGAATGGTGGATGATTTATTGTTAGGGGTTTTGGTTTTTCTGTCTGCCGTTTTGTCTGGCAATGATAGTCGTGTCGGGGATTTCGTAGATAGTATCTCGTACCGAGCAGGGGGGCTGTTTGGGGTGCTCGGCAGAGTATACTGTCTACGGGGCCTCCGGGGGGTACGCGGATGGAATGTATTGACAGACATGCTGCATGGCGATGGTGTGGCCTACCGCATGTCTCTTACTCTCTAAGCAACAAGGTCTTGAGTCAACCTTCTTTCTCTTTCGGCCTCTGACGAGCTACCGCACCGAAACAAATCTGAACTACATGTAACCCGGTCCGTCGCTGTACAGTGAAGCGGTTTACACCAGGTCCTTCGGAGTCCACGTGCAACGTTTATACAAGCTGAATTGTTTGAATTCGGAAAACAAGATCTATGTAATGAGTACACGGCAGTACCCGCCCACACGTACAGGGTCTTAGGGATTTCCCATGTCCCTAGCCTGTCCTGCGCCCAAGCTTCCCATGCTTCCAACGACCCAACGACTGAAAATGTCAGCGCCCGCTCTTATCGTTTCGGCGTTCGTCCAATGGTGCCAGGCCCGACTTGGGCTCGTTGCGGTGACATATCACTGGGAATTGCGGGCAAAGCGCCGGGTACTTCACAGATAATATAGGGGGGTTCTCCTATGGGCTAGGAACTTCGGTAGGCGGCCGTTTGTCCGGGAGTGGTGTGTTTTCCGGTTAAGGCGAGTACACCGCACTTCTAACCGGAAACTATGCACCGGAACGTTTTCTTTGGGGACAGGACTATCTTGGTCAGGCTCTCAAAATTTCCTGTAGATGAAGGTAGCAGAGGGACGAACCGACACCAGTTCCAACAGCACACCACCAAGGAAAATCTGCAGGAGGCCAAGACCAAAGGAGGGTGGCGTTCGTTGATAAAAGCGTCGGAGGAGATTTGTTCGCGAGTGTGGTGGAGTGTGGCACACTTGGCCCCGCGTGGCGCGCTCGTACATCTGCCACGCCCGCAGCAGGCTGTACATCCCGAGCACGAAACATAGGTCTTCCTCGCCCATTAGCGCACGATCGTGGTGAGTTTTTTGCACTCCGTGTACCGCCCGGCTGCCATCCTCCCTCGTGCTTGTCGCGCCATGGCTGTAAGCGCCCTGCTACAGCGAGCTTCTGCTCAACAATAACACAACCACGGTGGTCACACGCTCGCACCGCCGCGCGCGCTGAAAATAGGGTTTCCAGCAAATTTCCCGATAATTTTTTGTTTTTCTACGAAAACGGGGTTCGCACCGGGTCGAACTGATACGATGCAGCCCGACTGGACAGGATCTTTTCTACAGCAACTTAGCTTACAGGGAATCCGCTACAGGATAAACTGGACCGCATAATCAACGGCCATACAGGAAATCCCGGGGGGAAACCCTAGAATAACTCCATTAACAGCGAGAAACTTGGTTGGGCTGGTGCACCCTAGTGGACCACTTTTTGAACCCGAGAACACGAAAAGATTTGTAAGTTCACGCTCCTTGATTGTCCATACCCCCCGGAAATGCAAAACGAACTTGAGGGTCTCCGTGGCGCGCCGCCATCTAACCTGGTAGTCGCAGCACGTGTACCTGATTAATAACGGACGCCATAATTTTACCTGCACACACACGACTTGTACGACATTCCCTCTTCATTCCCAATTACGTGGTCCCGTGGCGATCACGCGCACTGCAGAACCAGCCAACCGACAGCGGCCGCTGATCCCAGAGATGATTCCCGTCATGAATTGTTATTCCGCTCCTTCTACTGCTCCGCTTCCTCCTCCGTTTCCTCCTCCTCTTCCCTCTCCCTCTCCACTTGCGCCGGCTGCCGCCGGTACCACGGGATTCACATGCGTATGCACGCGGCTCCTCTACAAGCGAGCGAGACGAGATTGATCCAGGACGTTTATTGCTTGAGGAATGTTTGGATATGAGCGAAGCTGAGCGTGTCGCAATGATTGAACATGTGATTCCGCTGCGCCAGGATATTGAAGGACGCAATTCTTCCGTTACTGCCTGCGAACCCCCCCTTGGACTACCGATAAACCATGACACGCATAAAAACACGATGATATGCCTGAAAGACAATACATGAACAGTCGGCGTATTTGTTTTTATCGTCGGGGAGGGGTTGAAGTTTGAAAGCCACCTGGATGACAACACCCTCGTCCCACGTTGAACCGCCCTATCTCCACCTGCGAGACTGCTGTAATAGTTGTCGACAAGATTTTCTTCGAATCTTTTTTCAAATACCGACGACGTCAACGTTCCCGCCACACAACAATCTCAAACGGGATCGCTGCTCCGAAAGAGGACCTGAGACCAGCACCCTCCACCCGCTCTATTAACATATCGGCGCAATTGTTGGGACGAGTCATTGTCCGGAATATTTCGAGGTTGTAAAAATTGAGCTTGATTGGAGAAACGTTGTAACCGCGAAAGCAAGCACAACAGCAGTGCGTCTTCAATTTACAGCGTGGTGCGACGCTACCGATCCCAATTGCTTGGTCCTTATTAAAACGAGGCAATGCCAAGGTGAAGGATTCACTACTGCACTTACCAAAAGTAAGGCGTCCATTTTCCGCTTCGCTTCTTCTCCGTCCTGTTCTGCTTGCAAAGGCTTCAAGGACGAGGAATATCTGAGTATCGAGTGAAAGCCAGGGTGAATCAGATTCACCCCAACACGGCAACGACGAACATCGAGTATCACAGGAGGCAGGGAGGAGGGACATCACATTACTTGAAGAATTTTCGAGGGGTTTGTCGGCTTGGTAGGGACCTCTCATTTTCGAAAGATAACATACATACTGTAGTTTTGCTAATCACAACCAACACTTGAGTGCCTGCCCGTCTTTAGCAGACCGGGCAACGGCACGCGCAGCGGCGAAATTTGGTGATACCGCGTGGCAGTCCCTATATTATGACCATTACGAACCGCCGATTGGGAAAGTGAGATTAGGTACGTCGAAAAAAAATGGCAAGCCCTCACATGGCATAACAGATGGCGTTGGGCCTGAACTTTTCCGCCCACAACATCATGCACGGCAAGCAAATGATGCAATCGAGCAACGAGCCTCTTGAAAAGGCGGCGAACGAAAACATGCGATTCAAAGAACGTCATATACGAGAAAATAGGTTCTTGATGTTTGCTGTCGACCTGCCTCAGACGGCCCACCGATTTCACCACGACCGCTGCCCCCTCGTCTCGACCATGCCATGGCTAATTCACGTTAGCGTCACAGGCCACATGATCAGACCGAGGCAGCGTGGAAATCGTCTCGCATTGTTTTCCTAGGTACATGGCCAGTGAATCTTACCCTGTCGAGGCCACCGATCTGTCGCCCTCTATCTCCACTGCCGCAACGCCGTCCCCCCTCCTGAGGGCAACAACGCCGCCGGCCCGACCGCAGTGGCCATTGAAGTTTACGTATTGCACGTCACCGTCGCCACCGTTGCCACGTGGTGCTGCTCGATTGGTCTTGGGGCTGCCGTTCGCCTTTCCATCGCCGCCGCCGGCGAAGTCAACAGATGTCGCCATTAGTGTCCCCTGCTCAGAGAGGTCCGACCAGAGAATGTACCGGGGTTGTGAGAGACGGGGACGGGGTCTCGTTGGCGCAATTTGGCGTTGCAGCAGCAGGAACTATATAGTGAAAGGGAAAACGCCTGGATAACGCAACCATGGTCTGTTGAAGGGTAATCTCCGGGTCTTGGATCAAGACCAAATCGGGTCTGCAGGATCGTTCTTCATCAAGTGTCTCTTCGAAGAAATACTTGGCGGCTTTAGAGGGTTTGTGAGGTTTCATTGAAGTGTGGCTCGTTTGTTGCCGGACGCTTGTTCCTCGCATGGGGAATGGACGATGAACGCTTCCCACCCCTGTATGCCCTCCGCGGGGATTGCTGCCACAACCACAAGGGCTGGTCGACATTCTCACGTGGATGGCCGTACGTGAGGGCAGGGGGCGGAGAGTGGTGCGGTAGCCAGTGCTGCGCAATGCACAGCGAAGTCGTTGCACCCATGCCCCAATACTACGTAAGTCGCCAAACAAAGGAGACTTGTTCGAAGAGAGTGGACTCTAGAGTGCGTCCTCAAGACCCCATTGCCACGGAAGAACTCGAATGAGGAAGGTGAACGGGATCACCATGAGTGTGGAGTTGATCGATAATAGGCGTCCTAGGTTTCTCGGTTTTGGCTGCACGGACACTACGATGAGAACAGTAGGTTCTGAAATTTTCAGCCTTCCCCTGGCAAATACTGTCACTAGCGTGATGTCGGCGACACACGATCCATTCCTCGCCGATTCGCCGTGTTTGCAACGTTGTTTGATTTCTAGATCTAGCACGAACCGGAATGGGCAAAGGCAATGGCATTACGTTGATTTCAGAACGCCAAGGCGGGTGAAACGTTCAGAACGTTCAAAGCTCCTGACACTCAAAATGCGTATCACCTTGCGAAACTACTTGTAGTAATGACGACGGTATGCTCCCTGCTGCCTGTTCCCTTGTCTTCAACGAGCTGTTTCTCGGAGTACACGTTGTCCATATCCCTCCGGCGTGGGACCATCAACGGCAAAAGAAAGACCCGACCCACGTGTACTCCCCGAAGCAGAGTTTTTCGGGCACAATTATCGGGGAAAGTGAAAAATAGGTGGTAGGATTCGGAAGCATGCCTCCGCTCACCCTGCCCGCATCAACGGCAAGTCCCGGGTCTTCCTCCGCCGCAGTTGTCGACTGGGAGGCACGAACACCCCCAACACCGTCGCCACCTCCGCCTCCAACTCCACCAGCCCGGCTAGCCGGGTCGTGCTGAACAAATGAGTAGCTGCTCATCGATCTGGGTGAGTTAGTCATGCACGGGAGCGGGCGGCCAGGGAAACCAACGAGCGGGTGAGAAGGTTGGTTCTTCGTCGATAAGAGTAGCTGCCCATTTCGTAGGCACCGCCTAAGAGCAGAGCATGGCCTGCTGCCTACACGAAAATCTCAGAAAATGACATCAGAAGTCGGAGTGAAAGAAGATGCTTGACACAGCAGTGGCATTACAATCATGCCGCGTTGGTGCTGTTGGTAAAATATTTGGCCGGCAGGACGAAGTCTCGGATCAGTGTAGAGGCTCGCCTTTCGTGCAACTCTGGAGGCACTGCAAAAGACCACGTTGACGACCTATCGTGAATGACATGCACACCTCCCTAAATCCATTGGTACCTTTCCCGGGGATATACCCTGACATCCTCGGATTTTCAGACTCGTCTAGCTTTTCTAACCTTTGAGCGCTGCGGCTGAATCCCAGGAAAGTGGAGAGAGGGAAACTAATCCGCTTCCTTCCGCTGGCCGCCGTTGTCCCCGGTCCGACGCTGACGCCGCCCGCTGTCGCACTCCCTCCCTCGCCAGCGGCAGGACGGCTGGTACCTTCACCACGAGGGCCACCACCACTTCCGCCTAGTGTGCGCGTTTTCCCGGCCCGTCCTTCTGCTCCGCCCATGGGGATATCCATCAAACTCGTGACATCGACAACGTCGTCATCGTCGTCGTCGTCATCATCGCTGCCGTCCTCGCTGCTGGGTAATTCTCCGCCGTCGACGACGCCGATTACTCCTCCGCTGGTGTAGGTGCTCGGTCGGGATACGTTGCTACTGCTATCCCCCCCTCTGCTCTGATCTTTCCTCTTCTCCTCCCTGTCCTTCTTGTTCCAATTTCTGGAGAAGAGCCACCTCGCGGACAGCACCGAGCACACGCGGTTCGCCACGCCTCGCCCTCCCCCGCGCCAGGAGTAGGAGCGGTAGTACTCGCCGTCTTCGCGCAGCGACTCTCCCCTCCTGCGGAAGGAAGACATGGAGACAGCCCGGCGCTCCGCCGTGCCAGCGTTCCCCCCGCTCACGGAGAAGATAGACCGCCCGCGCAGGCTCATGGTGCGGTAGATCGGGCGGCGGCCGCTGCCGATGCTTCTACGGCTTCCCCCCATGTCCGAGGCAAGCCCTTCCGTAGCTCTAGCAGTAGCTGTGACGCGGGCGGCGCGCCGATCGATGTCGGCGCGACCTTGTTTTCGGGCGCCCTGGGAGGCGGAGGCGATGACCCTGCCCTGGGCACCGTCGTCTGCGTCCAACCTTCGACCTCCTTCGTCGTCGGTCTTGTCCGTTACACTTGTGGTACGGGGAAGAGGGTAAGTAATTTTCCCTACACCTCCATCGCTACAACTGAGACCACCGCCGTCGCCACCGCCAGAGGTACTCGCGAGTGTGGCTTTCGTCTCGGCAGTTTTTGTTTCTTCTCGGTTGTCGACGCTCCTGGTGCTGGTTGGGCTGTTGCTGTTGCTATAAAACGAATAGGCAGAATGCTGGGTGTACCTGACAAGGTCGGCATTCGGGATAGACAGGGTGGCTACATGTAAGGGATATGGTTGTGACCGATCCCATTTGAGGATGCGCCTTTTCCAAAGTGTATTTTAGGAAATGAAGAATCCAGCAGGGGACACATCGCTACATGCCGCTCGGGGACCGTAGAAATTCAAGTCGGTAATCATACCACACGATGAAACAATTACTGAGCCGGCCGTCCGGCTTGATGGTTGGACAATGTTGACGCAACTATCAGCAACTATGTGACAGGAGGCGACATGATTATCGTCACTGACAAAACGCACATGGACCATGTACAACAAGATCACCTTGTTGAAATGAAGGGGTTGGCCACCGCGGAAGTGGGTGAGAACACCGTGCTCGTTGGAGTCCCTGCGAACGACCACGACTTCCCTCTGCTGACTCGGCCGCCGTTACCGACGTGGCCGTCTTCCTTTCCGCCGGGGGCGACAACGAAAGCGATGTCCCTCGTAGCCGACCCTTGCCGTTCCTGCGGTTGTTGCTGGTCCCGTTTTTGTGGCCGGCGCCGTTGTTGTCCATTGCCCGTGGCGGCGGTAGGTGGACGGAACAGCACCTTCGGTAGGGGGGGGATAGCGGGAGGGGCTCGGTTCTGCTGCTCGCTGGAAGCAAACTCGCGCGTACTGGCCTGGCGCCGCCGCCGTTGCTCCCGCTGCTGCTGCTGCCGGCGTTCTTGGGGCGTCGGTGGTGTCGAGAGCGCTTGCCGTACCCTCCGATCCAGAGCACTTCCACTCCGCCGCCCACTGCTGGTCGCGCTTCTGTCTCGACGCTGCTTGTGCTCCTGTCGCGTTGCCGTCCTGCTTCTTCCGCTTCTCCTAGAGCCGCTAGCGTTGCTGCCGTGGCGGTGCATCTCAGCCGGGCTGGGGTTCCTGTGCCTCTCATAGTGATGCTCGATCATGCCTGGAAGCCCACCCGACGGTTTTTGCAATTTGGGGGGTGGGGGATTGTAGGATGATATAAATACCATCGTGAACAGGATGCGTTTCCTGCATGTCAGAGGTTGTGGTTGGAGGTACCGTGCTGGGTCCAAGCACGCTGTCCGTGCCCAAGGCTCGGATACTACGTATTATTTGGAAGATTTTTGATTCAGCCATGATGAGCGGTACTCTTGCTTTCGGTACGGTACTGCAGTCGCCAACGCTGTCGTGACAGCAGTACTGATCTCAACGCCATCCCCGTTCAGACCGTTGGAATAACGCCTCGCCGGAGAAACGAAGCGCGACAACTTTTGACGGGCGTCCCGCTTGCGGAGAAAGTGACCGAAGCGTTGCTTCCGGTAAGCGTGTTGCTAAAGGCCCAACGTGGTTCTCGTCGCGTTTACCTGCCGGCGACATCCCCAGAGCTGACGACCCTCGAGAAGAGAAGAAGTACTGGCTGTCCCCCCTGCGCCACCCTCGCCCGCCGTGCCTCATGTCCGGCGTCGCTCCCGCCGGGCGCGCCTGCTGGCTCTGGGCGGTCGTGGTGCGGCCGCCGTCGCGTGACAACAGAGACCAAGCAAACACCATCGCAACAGCCTCCTCGACAGAGGCATGCTGCGGCTTTGACCCGTAGCCTCCCGCCTTGGATTGGAGGATTGTGCCCTCGCTAACCGACGTCTGGATCCTTGGGGGCATCGATGGAGTCGACTTGACCTGAAACGAACCGGTATTCGGACCGCGGGGGAGGAGGGCTCCATTCAAGACGGTGGGGGCGACGGACTTCCTTCCACCTCGGCTGGGCAGAGAGTAATTGCAACACAGTCGCAACAGCAACACAAACCTACGTTATGATTTCGAAAAAATGAAAACTTGTACGTATCGCACTGCAGGAACAAATCTGGTCGGCGTTCGTTCTGCTTCCCTTTGCCGCCTTCACCCGTTGTCTCACCGCAGCAGCAGCAGCAGCAGCAGCGCCGGAAGCAGGCCCCGACGCCTCTGCACGGCAGACATGTCCTCCCTTCCCTCCTCCCGCTCCATGTCCTCCCTTCCCTCCTCCCGCTCGGCTTCCTCTTGAACCAGGGGGGGCATCGAAAGGAAATAATTCTGGCAGAGATGCCCCCCTGCTTGTTTTGGGCGTGCGTGGACACAGGCAGAAAACACGGAGCGGGTCAGACATGGAAAATGCTCACGTGTACATTTCTCGGTGTATGACGAGGGAGCGGCTACGAAGAGCAGATGCAGAGACCGTGCATCATCTTTCGGGTGGAAGCCTGCCAGGCGAGTGAGACCAGAGCGCCAGAGTAAAAAGGCCGCATGTCGCGCTTGCGGGGGGGGGTACCACAGGTACAGCTCGCTGCCCGACCCCATGCGCCCCAAGGCACCGACGACGTGCAAGTATGGCGAAACAGAAACCCTTGGCTCCTCACCTGCTGAGGAGAGCGCGAGTCTCCGACGGCATGCGGCCCATGGTCGCCCTCGGCAGGTTCTTCGCCTGTCGACTCGACACGTCGCTTCCGGTTGAAGGCGTGCTGGGTGTTGACAACGATCGCCCATGAACATCGCCGTCGCCGCCATGGAGCGGCCAGGCCAAATTGTGAGAAGTGGAGGGGGGGACGGGGGCGGTCACTCGCGGTGGGGGAGGTATTTGGGAGTTTCGTGGCTGTTGTATACACATGCATGCGCTGGATATTTTGCGTCTCATCATGTTTCCAGAGAAGGGTTGAGAGGTCGAGAACGGTAGGCTCGAGGGCATGGGTGTTTCCGTTTTGAAAGATTTTGTTGTCCGTGCCTGGTGGGGGTACAAAGCGCGAGATACTGTAGAGCTCAACTCGCGAGTTCATTCTTCGCTTGCCAACCAACGACCTGAGTGTTCGGAAAAAGGGGCTCATTTTCACAGCGAATGCCGGCGAGGTGTTCGCCCAACTGTTGGAAAGAGCGCCAGTCGTGCTCTCAAGAAATCGCGACACACCTACAACAACAACAACAACAACAACAACAACAACAATAACAACAACAACAACAACAACAACAACAGCAACAACAGCAACAACAACAGCAACACCACCACCACGATCACCAACAACAACAGCGAAAACAACAAATCACCTGCTCTCGACTTCTTCGGCGGCGGCCTGGATCTCGTAGTAGGCTTTTTTCGTGACCGCCGATATTTCGAGCTCACTCAACACCGCATCCTGCAGCAGAGACAAAGCGACGTCTGGCTGAAAAAACACATGTTCGATTGCAAAACCCCATGAATGTTTCTTGAGGCGACGATGGCACAACACTTGGAAGTACAAAACGGAAAAGACAAAAACCTAACAACCACAGCATCATTTGTCAAACGGAAATCACCGCGAAGCACAAGGCACACACGCTCGTGGCTCCGCTGCCGGCAATGAATGGCGCCTTGTCGCTTTTCCGCCAGAGGCCAAACCTGGCGTGATGTTCCGTTCGTGACATTGCATGGACCATGACGACAAAAGCTCGCTCTACACGTGTACAACACTCACGCGGGGGGCGGTCGATCTGGGGACCCCGCCACAATACGTCGCGCTTGATTCACCTCTGGCATGTGCAGACTAGCTTCATGCACCAGTTGAACCGTACAGGTGGATACGATCTCACAGGTACAGGAGTATTTACCGCCAAGGCAAGGGCATGAAAGGCAAAGATTCACATTATGTACGCCCTGTAATAACGAACGTCTGTAACCTCGGCATGAAGAATACCACTAGCCAAGCTTGTAGATTCGGAAGGAAATCAAGTGACTCACCGGCGTTTGCCCGACTGGCGGGTGCTGCAACGGCCAAGCAGGCGATGGTGGAGCATATGTGTCGGAAGCACGATCACGTCCGCCAGCATCGCCGTCTGCGAGAAAACAAAATCGTTGATACGCCAGCGTGGCAAATTTACGTCTCCATCACCACGGCCGCGAGGAATCGTTACTGCTGCGTTCAAATAATTTGTCGTTCTGGGGGGCAGCGTTCGTGGTCTGCCGCACATGCGGAACGTACATCCCTACTCTAGCACCTTTACCGACAAATCCCGGACATACCATCTCCTAGACCAATACCGAAACCGGCCGGGTCGCCTCCCAGCGCACAGGTAGAGAGAACTGTGAAAAACGACAAAACCAAGACGATTACCATGAGGCGGACAGCTGCGGCTTTTCGACGACAGAAGGCCATCCTCACCGTGCTGACTTTGATCCTCTCCGGTCGGGGTGCCTGGCTGCCTTGGTTGGCTGCCTTTCCCTCTCGCCGAGGACTCGTATCCGGTGGATATGGAAAACCGAGAGGACGAAAGATCTGCGGAAGCGACCAAATTCACATGTACTCATGTTGATGGCACACATCGCTTTTGTTTTGTTTCCACCTCTGCCGCAGAAAAGAGTCCGGGGTAGGTTAGCAATGAATATATATTCAGTGTTGTACGGTGACCAAACGTATATTTCTACGGTTCCCCGAGCAGCTTACAGCGATTCGTTGTCGTCACCATGCCCCGGGTCTGCAAAATGTCTTGCAGCGCTTGTTGGCAGCAAACGTCGTTTCACCGGCATGGCAAAAAGACAGGCAATACGGAACTTGTGTTGCTTTTGGCGTGGTACACAACGAGCCACAGCCGAACCCTCTAGACTACAACGTACCTTTCGATAACTGTACTTGTGTAACTCGTTCCCTTAGTCGTACCACAAGGAATCTCGAAGCATCTACAAACAAGACATAGATCGCCGATACGTCGGCCCGTTGCACATGGATTGCTTATGTTCAAGTGCAGACCCTCACCGCCGTCCTCCTCTTCGTCGGAGTACATGGACGTGCAGGCGCTGCTGCCACCGCTACCATCATGATCGTCGTCATGAACGCCGTCATCCGACCAAACACCGCTTGCGGAAGAAGCAAGCGATGACCTAAAGCGGAAGGAACAGAACGAAAAGTGGTGATGGGAGTGAGTAGCTTCTATTGCGCGGGGTTGTCACCCAATCTAGTGCTGGCAAGTCCAACTGAGCAATCTAAACATCAATACCCCGCCAACAGCTACTTTCGTACCTTTGCTTTGAACATTTCCAAGAGTCCAATCGCTGTTGCAAGCAAGGCGATCTACGGATACGACGACGTCACGCCAATCACGGCCACCGCAAGCGTTGCCCGAGGATCAAATCACGAGCTCCTTCACTGTATTTCGGTGTTGACGGCCAATCGAAGAACGAAAACCATTGACACAGATGCCTACCTCCATCTGCGCTGCTGCTCCCAGTCCCCATCATCATCAGAGGTTAATCCCCAGCCCGAGCTCTCCCGGCTTCGGCGCCCCGTCCCGCTCTCCCTGACACCGTGGGCCCCGCGGTGCTCCCTAGGTGTGTCGTCGGTGCCGCTGAGGGGCAGAGCCACTCCCCAGGAGGAGCGCCGGTATCCACCGTCACCACGACCTGCCGAGCGGGGTTGGGGTCAAGGTTGAGACTTAGCTCTGTTTGCCGCCTACACGGAAGGGTTACCGATTGGAGCATGCTACGTAGCATAGTTTACATACCATTAGAGTCGGAGAGATTGGAAACCCCCGTGTAAGCGTTTTCTTTCTAGCGTATTTCACCACAACTAGGAGGGTGCAAACACCAACCGATACCTCTCAGGAAAGCCCTCGACGAGACACTCCTGCCCAATACTACTTTGGCGGTGGGGCCCCCCTGGTTGTGGAGAAACACGCTACAAAAAAAACGCTTCTTACGTTGATTTAGAGGTGTCGCCATCGGGCAGAGAGAACACGCGCATTTCTGAAACGTCTGTGCGTAATCGACAGGAGTCGAAAACAATGCGTGAAGAAGGAGTCGTTTGTTCGGTAGTGCGTCGGTGACACACCGCATTACGGGAGGGCGTAATTGGTGTATACAACCGAGCGATACAACAGAGTCTTCGACCTGAGTTTGCGGCGGTCGTTGTTGAGACGATAAGGCACAGGGGTAGACACTAAGAACCCAGCTTTGGCTACACCTGTTCGCTTGGGTCAACGTTCACCGCTAGTGATAAGCCCCGAGCTTGAGGCCCTTCCATGAAGACCGCATGGCGGTGCAATGTCTTCGACAGTGCTATTGCTAGGTTGTTGTGCTGGGAAGGTGAAGGCCTGAACGAACACTTTACCGTTCATCGCGGCGAGGCGTTCCCTATCCCGTTCCGCCTGCTCTCGGCTGGAGATCGTCGAAAACGTCGGCGACACTTCGGTTGAGGCGATATCGTCCATCGGGATCACCACGCCCTGCGCGCTGATGCTTGCAGGTCCGTCTGCTCCTGCTTTCGCGTAAAACGTCGGGGTTACCGGTGCGGTTTAGGTCAGACCCACGAACGGAGAAAAGTTCAGATTGGGAACAGGGTTCGGTTTGCTTCTGAAGTAGCGTTGGGAAGAACGTCCGGTAATATTGGATCATGTGGACCTTAAACCGAACAGCTAAGCTACGAAATAGAGCGCACGTCCACAACCGCTGAGAGGAGTGGCCTGTCCGCTCTCTCAACCAATGGAGATTCAGCAAAAATCGACAGGGAGGGACAAACGGCCAGCCTGATTCTCTTGGGTCACCTGGATTTTTTTAATGGTTCGGGGTTTCGTGAGGTCGAAATGGCGTGTGCTTGGCGTGCCAGGTTTAGCGTCGTTCTGGCAAGCAAAAAAGATTATGGGGCCACGGGATTTTCTCTCCTCGGCGGCAGGGTAAGCCTATGGACGCGGAGATGCTCTTTCAAGATCTAAATTTAACAGAAAACATGGGCTAAAACGCCAGTCACGAGCAATGGCAGGGACGACATTCAACAGCAACATACGCCACAGCTTGAGCCAGAACACTTGTGCGGGCAACACAGTAGGCCACCGCAAACAATATCTCCCAAATACCAAGCCCAAGCGGAACACCGAGACTCACCGACGCCCGCCACGCCGCTTTCGGCCCCGTCTTCGGTGTACCAAGCCCCCGCATCCTCGCGGGAACGCGAGCCACCACCACCACTGTTCCAGCCCTTGGCCCTTCCAATGACACTGCCGCTGCGAGACGAAGGCGTGCCCCTCCCGTCGCGGGGGGTCACGCCACCCCTCCTCGTGGTCGCGCCTCGGCTGTGGACGGGGGTCCCGCCGCGGCTGCGGCTCCTCGCAGGGGTGCCGTTGCGGCTGCGGCTTCTCCCCGGGGTCTTCTTCATTTCGGCGGAGATGGCGAGGGCTTTGGCCGCGTTCTGCCTCCACCAGTTGTTGTCCCGTACCTGATGCATACGGGTAGGTTTGGACGGATCGAAATACGTACACAGCTCATGAAAACCAGGTGGGTACCAGGTGGGTTAGTGGTGTGCAGGAGGGATAGCGGTGAGGGTGGGTGAGTATCGAGCAACGTGCACGCATGTTGGTTACATTTCGCTGTCCGTGCCTACACACGGCTTTGTGTGGGCGACGTTGTATCATGACGCCAAGAGAGCTAGATGGCGGTGGTTGTATTCGTCACCGTGACCGTGATGACTTTTGTACCGAATTCATCCTTCGTTTTGGTCGTGTTTTCTCAAGGTTGTGGAACAAACAAAGGTTGGACTGCGTAAAAAATGGCGGTTTCTCTGAACTCGTTCTGAATCGAGCGCCTGTTACTGCCAGCAGCCAAGTTGGGTGTCGAAATCGGTCACAACACTTGTACCTTGTCACCTTCAATATCGGCCGTCGCTCATCATACTTGAGACTAATTGGCTGGTTCAAGGTGTACGTTCTTCGGTCAACGTGACAACATTTGCTGGCACGATGACGGTGAAGTTCATGTTTCCAAGTACATTTCTAATGTCAAGGCTCTCCTGCTTCAAGCCACAATACTCACAGTCCGTGAGACCGACCCTCCGTCCTCCCCCGAGACCCGAAGGTTCTCCTTCTCGACGCATTGGCGCCGTGTACCTCCCGTCACAACCACAGTCCCCTCAAGTTGAACCTTCCCGGTCCTGTCGACCCCTCTAGTATCCGCCTTGTCTTTTGTCCCGGGGGTCGTCGCCGCTGCGTCGGACAAGAGCTCCGCCGTATCAACGGGAAACTCAGGGGGGATACCCGGTGCCGTCACCCGATCTCCCGTACCGGCGGCAGCCTTCTTGGCCGATGTCACGGCTGCTTCTGCGGCGGCGATGATCTCCCGCTCCGCCATGCCTCCGTCGCTCTTCACGGCCACCGCGGTGGCTTCGAAACCGGAGTCGAAGCCGTCGCTCGTTCGGCCGCTCTGCTCCTCTGGTTTTTCTTCTCCCGCCCTTGTCACGATTTTTTCAGTGGCGATACTTAGGGTGCTGCTGCTGCTGCTGTGACGGGTGTCGATTTCGGAAGACCCCCAACCGGCAGAGTCCAGGTGCTTGCAGCCTCTAGCCTTCAATTCTCCTTCAGCGAGGTGCACGTCGACCACGCCGTTGTCACCGTTGGCACCATTCCCCGAAGGCGTCGTCGCTGTCGCCTGCGACTGCCGAGGCGTGACCCCTCCCTCTTCGGAGAGTGGCGGCGCCGTAGCCCCGTCGCTGCTACCGCCCGGGGAGGGGGGGGGCATCGGGCTTCGTGGTCCATGTCCATCACGCTTAGATCTCTCGCATGTGCCGCCCACGGCGGAGTTGGGGATGGTTCCCCGGTACCGCGGGGTCGTTGTGCCGGGAGCGGGGGGGGGACGGGAGAGGGCCTCGTCAGCATCAGCTTCGGCAGCACATGTGGTGGCGCTGTTTCCACCCCCCGACGAAATCCTCATCTTCTGATAGCCCACGTGTACGCCGGTTCTGCCTGCCCCTGCTGCTGCTGCTGCTGCCGCCTCCACCGCGGTCTGTTTTACGGAAGAGGGCCGGGCCCCCCTCCCAGCGGTCGTAGTTGCCGCTGCCACCGGTTGAACAAACGGCCGACGCGATTCTTGCTCCTTTTGTGCGATAGCCCGGTCTGTCCGGCCACTGCTTCCATCACCACTGCCGCCGCTGCTACCGGCTGCGGTCGGGTCCGAGGAGGACGGTCCCGGCTCGGCGGAAGCTATGGACGCCGCACTAGTGGAGGCGGTCGAAGTCCTCGTTGCGAGAATCTTCCAGCTCCGAGGCGTCATTTTCGCGGAGGTTGTTAAAGATGCCACCGCCGTTGTCGTCGCCACTGGCCCCCCTAGGGTAGAATCTAACACCGTTGTGCTGCCCTCGCCACTGCCCGTGCTATTGGGGCCGTCGGGTTTTCTTCTGTTACTTTTGCCGCTGTCCTGAGTCAATGTTTCTGGCTCTGCTACTGCCGCCGGCTGTTGCATGTGTTTCGAAAGAGGTGACGGGTTCGCTTCGCCATCACAGCCTCCGCCGCCCTTAGCACGAGAGAACTTTCCAGGGGCAGGTAATGCGGCGGTGCTGGTCCATTTCCAACGACCGCCTCCGCGCTTCGAGCCAACCTCCACCGGTGTTTCACCAACCTCAGCCGACTGCGAGCAGTCTCCGTCGGCTCTCGAGTCCAAGGCTGATGCCAGAGTTGGTCTCCGCCGACTTCTTCGTTTTCTGAAGCCGCTGCCGACGCTGCCATCATCACCACTGCTCCCATCGTGGTCGGCGTAAGATCGAGAGCCGCTAGTTGCTGCCGATTTTTTTCTTGTCGTGCCCTGACCGACGGAAGGTGGCGGGGTGAAGTACCCCGCGTCGCTTGTGGAACCGGCCCCGACTGCGTCCGAGGTCGTTGGCGATGCGACCATCACTCGTGGTTCCTCCTGCGTCGGTAAAAGTTTTTAGTATTTAGAATGGTTCCGGGTAAGAGAAATCTTTCAAAAATGATGTGAAGTACTTCTGAGCCGTTTCTCGGGTGTATCGAGTCCACGAGCATAGTCTACACAACAGGAAGCCAGAGACAAGGACTTAGAAAGGAATTGACGGTGAGGGGCGACGTTGACCAACGGTAGACGAGAGGCTACCGGATGGGTGGGTAATTGGGAATGGTCGTGGGAGTGTTTGGCCTTGTGCTTATGGCGAATGGGTGGATTCCGTGTGCGCAATTTGTGCGGAACAAGGGAGCTAGCGGCATTTCCCCACTGCGAGTGAACAACAGAGAGAGAGCGCTTGAGTAAGAATGTTGATATCGAACGTATGTACGAGAGACTCGATGTCTCAACGCTCCAGTCCAGACGGTAGGCGTTCAGTGTAAGCTGTCCCACAGATAGGGATACAAACTTTGGTGCTCATGCAGTTCTCCCCTGACCACCGACATCACGGTCAAATTATTGTTTTGACCTGTACCAGTCATTGACTTTCACCACATTCACGCATAGTGGAAGCGATGGGCGGAAAATGTCCCGTAACAAGACAAGACTATCAGACAACATCCGACAACCGAGCTCATTTGAATGGTTGTAATCCCAAACCCATATGCGCAAATACCCATGCAGCGTGTGTCTCCCTACCCTGAGCTTGAGAGCAGGGGCGAGCAACGCCAGAACTATACATGTGAAGAATAATAATAACAAAGAGAATTTAAAAAGTTGTTCCTCTAGACTAGACTATGCATAATGAAAGCCTTGAAAAAACCTGCCTGAAGACGTCGGTAGCAGCAATGGCATTGGGCGCAAAATGAGCTTGCTCGGGTTCTTCTGCCACGGCAACTGAACTGGTCCTATCTTTGGCAGTCGAATTGCCGAGGGGGGCAGCAATTCTTCCATGTTTCGTTGCACTGCCGTGCCACAAGGTGAACACCGCGTCGCACTGCCCGTTTGCTTCTACTGCTGCTGTAATCCATACAGTTACATATTAACTGCGATAACTTCTTGCTCAATATTTTCCAGCTCGCGTCATTGCTCGCACCGGTGGATACTGCTGTAGGAACCGGGATAATAGTAGTACTACTGTGCGTAACAGCCGGGTTTGCTTCCGATCCGGGATAATATACCGCTGAGCGTATGAGCAGTCGTGTTTCCGATCACGGGCTTGCTGGAATTCGTGTATTGACCTGCCCGGCAGTGCTGCGCGATCTCTCACCATGATTGACGAAGAGGCAACGAGCACGGACCCACCGAGCCCACGCCTGGTGCTTGTCTGTCGTTGCCTCGCCTGGACGTGGGGCACGGTCGGCCGTTCCTAGGGCCAACCTTGGCCTCGACCCCGATACCAGCCCGATTCACCCCTGGCTGGGCACTGGGGTGCTGGTGGACACCTTTCACGGACGCTAGACGTTTATCGGGTCGGAGGTCGTAGCTTTTTCGCCAGCAGGCTCAGAAGCGTAAGGAGGACGCTCTCTGCCGACGTAGTAGGCTTGGTTCCGTAGTCGGGGTTGTCCTACGAGCTCATTGTTGTCGTTCTTCGTAAATGTCGGTCCAGCGAGCCAGGCCAGTTTCGGTTCGAGCTGAGAGGAAACCAACCAGTCGAAAAACGGCGGGGGAGGCTGCTGTGTGCTGTGGACACCCTCTGTCCATCTGTGCATCGATATGCCGGTATGCATAAACCTGTTGAACAGGGAACGCGTCCCCAGGCGTAATGTAATTCCAATCGTCACATGCTAGATGTACACGCAAATGCGTCGTGTCGTTCAACGGCGGCTGTGCGAGGAGGCGCCGCCCACAAATGGGTGCTGTATCATGCTACCAATCTGTTGCTCACGGAGCCGACTATATCTGCAGGTAGGTGGGCACTTTCCTCCCGTGGGCAGCGACGGCGGTGACCTTTTGAAGCCTGACCAGCTCGGCTGGCGTGAAAGAGGGTGCTTGAGGTGGTACGCAATTAATGGAAGAACACACAGGGTCAGCATTCCGAACCGCATCAGGCCCCGTTTTCTCATCGGCAACAGCACGCTCGCATTTGCTCCCCCTCGGCATCCAGATCACACCCTTCGATGTTTCTGCAGCCTCTCTATCGAAGGACCGAAGTATGCACTGTCAACTGCCAAGATGCAACCCGCACGGTGACTCGCGTGGCAGCCGAGAGACGGTAGTGGGTGTCAGGGGAAATAAATAGCCTACAGGCGGTCACGCGGATAGATCATATTTTGGACTGTTGATGTTGGCCAATGAAATCGCAGCGCATGAACTTTGGCAACTACTACTACGCTGTAGTATGCCGCCGGTCGCCCCGGTGGTCGTTCAGTTGGTAACCTCAAAACCTTCTAGAGGTCACGTCAGGGGTTCGAATCCCGGCGTAAATTGCAAAGTGAGTTTTTCTCTCGCTTCCGCTCCTGGCCTTGTGGATAGCGCTAGTTCGTGTGTACACAGAGGGAAGAGAGTGCTGAACTCTTCTCGCATTAAAAATCGAAGGCAAAGTACCGCAGGAGGGGAGGGTAGAGAGGGACTCTTCTGTGTGACCACGGGTTGGAGTAAACGGCACTAGTGCCGTGAGCGCTGATTTGAAGCGAAGAAAAAAGAAAGGAAAGAAAAAAAAGTACTTCTTTGGGCATCTTCTCTCTCCGTCTCTCTCTCTCTCTCTCTCTCTCTCTCTCTCTCTCT